AAACTAGGCCCATTATCTAGAACAAGCCAACACCTCGCTCACTCTGCTACTGCTCTGACATTTGTCACATGGGGTGAGTGCTTCCTTCTTCAGATCCTAATTGATCCTCCCCAGTCCCTTGCCAGAAAGAGCAATGAGGCTTGAATTGCAGATGGAAAGGGTGAGGAGTGAGCAATTTGCCAGAGACCCAGTTTCTGTCTTCCACTGTTCATGATTCAGTCCCTCTTGGGACCTCAACTGAAGTACCTCGTCCCAACCCTCTCCTTACTCTAGAGGTGTTACTGTAAGCAGGTCACTTGCCCTACTTCCTGATATATAGAGGTGGCTCTGACTCCAAGATCTCCAGTCAGTTTGTTTTGCACCTTTCCCCACAGTAAACACAGCAAACAGAAACAAACCAGCAAACAAAACAAAAAAACAAAAACCTGCTGTCTTCCTTCTGACCTTTAAAGATTAAGGTTGCTTCTCTGCTTCTCCCTCAACATTAAAATCTTTTCTCCCCTTTGCACCTTGCTCTTGCGTGGAGCTTTGTAGCTCCACCCTCCTTACCTGGTCATTGGTTTCAGCAGGTATCCAACCTTCCAGCCAAAACACTATTAGTTGTTGGCCACCTGAACCTGGATTTCAAGTCGCTGAAGGGTGAGCACCTCTGTACACATCCTCCCCTTCGAGAGTGGATCTGTGCTCCACTCTTCCACGTTTATCCCCCGCTATCCTGGGAGAGGAAATCTGCATTGAGATGTGCTGCTCCAGCTCAGTGACAGATAGAAAAGACATAGTTGCAGGGCTAGAAACTCCTGAGTCAACCTAGGGTTGGCCTCCCACATGGCATGAAGCCATGTTAGTGGGCCATAGTCAGTGGTAAAGATGAAGGGGTCCCCAGCAGGTAGTACTGCCCACTTAATTGCAAGGCTTTCCTTCTCAATGACCACATATTTTTGCTCCTGTGGAAGAAGTTTCCTACTGAGATAAAAGAATTGTTTGAGGATGCCATGTTTCCCATCCTCAAACCCTTGGGAAAGCACAGCCCTCAAGCCCTGTTCAGAACTGTCAGTCTGTAACACAAGTTCTTATGTGAAATCTGGCTTGTGCATCAGCACTAGGGCACTGCAGACAAGCTGTTTTACTGTCCCAAAAGCCTCCACACACTCTGCACACTTATTGTACCTTCCCAGGTGCCCCTTCCCAAATTAGATCCATCAAAGGCACTCGAATAGCTGAAAACTGCTGGATGAAACATCTACAATATCCTATCTGAGGAATGACTTTATGTGTTGTTTTCTTGACGGTACTGGGGATTCCTTACTTTTTTCCGGTAGGGCTTTAATCCTCCCATTTCCTAGGCTATTCCCTAGGTCTGTGGTCTCTTTATGCTCACACCAGTATTTGCCTGGGTAGTTTGTGAGGCTGTAAGTGAATGCAATGCTGCTTTCACCTGCTCAATGTGCTTGTCACAGGCACTAGTGAATATTACTGCAGCATCCAGGCATGCAGCTGTATATGTCTTGTATGGTCAAAGTATTTTACCCATTAAGCATTGAAAAGTAGTAGGTGTGCCATGGAGTCTAAAAGGCAGGGTTTGAAACTGATAGAGACCCCACAGTGTTGCAAATTTGCAAATGCTATCATCTCTGAGGACTCTGGGACTAATGTAGGGGTGGGCAATTATTTGGTGAGCTGTTGTGAGAGGGGGGTGGGTTGTGGCCCAGTTAGGAGGGGACTGTACCCCATCCAACCAGTGTGGCAGAGAGTGGGGGGAGGGGAGGAGGAATTGGTCCTATCTGGTCCTGGGCTGTCCACCCCATACCCACCACTGGGGGTGCTGGACAGAGCAAATGGGTTGATGGGGTCTCCGTGGAGACCAGCCTGGGACCCCCACAGGCAGGGCATGCCGAGCTGGGCAGATGGGATGGGGCCGTGGGCAGTTGGGGAGCAGCATCCAGGAGTGGGACGGGCAGGTGGGGCTGGGGCCAGAATTGTGGGGTAGTGACAGTGCAGGATTGGGGCCCAGGGCAGAGCCATGATCTGCTCCCTGCATATCCCTGCCACAGGCAGGGATGTGTGGGGAGTAGATTGTGGCTCTGCCCTGGGTCTCAGCCCTACACTATCACAGCCCTGCAGTCCCAGCCCCAGCTCCCATCTGCCTGTCCCACTCCTAGACACTGCTGCCCGCTCGCCCACCTGCAGCCCCATCCCATGCACCCAGCTGAGCACACCCTGACTGCTGGGGTCCCAGGCCAGTTTCCATGGAGACCTTGCCTGCCTGCCCATTCTGTCCATTGCCCCCAGCCAGGCAGAGAGTCTGGCTGCTGCTCCACCTACACCCCACCACATGCCCGGGGCACTGGGACTGGCCTCATGCACCACAGCCCAGGCTGCCCCCATGCCTGGGCCAGGCAGGGCTTAGGGACCCACCGCAGGCCAGATAAAATCCCTTCATGGTTTGGATCTGGCCAGCAGCCCATATTTTGATCACCCCTGGGCTAGTGGGATTTGCTAGTATCCTTTTGTCAAATCCAGTGTGGTAATTTCTTAGTAATTCAAGCATTTTGTTTATACAGCGCATTGAGGATGCATCGTACTTTGAGACTCTATTTACTTTTCAAAAATAAATACAAAAATGAATGGTTTGGCTCAGCTTTGGCATGTGCAAAATTGGGCTACTCCAATCACAAGTATATTTTTCTATCGCCCCCAATTCAAGCATAATTTGAACCTCCAGGCATTTGTGTCCATTAGACATACCAGAATTCATAACTATCTCTTTTGGGTGGAGAACCCCAGTTTAAGGATAATCTGGTGCTCCAGTAGAGTGGTTCTCCTGTGACTGTTCATAAAATATCCTTACATTCCTTTAGCAGAGCTTTTGTCTTGGTGTGTTGGGCTGAGGTTAAACCTTCGCCTACATGGATCCTGAAGAGGCTCCTGGAAAATCCAGGCCAGCCCCAAACAAATAGCTGGTGACATGTCATGCTTTCCAAATCCTCCAGGGCTTTAACCAGTTGACATGATAAATCTGGGAACCTTGCTGCTTCCCCACCAGATACAGCTCAAAGTCACCTGCCCAAACTGATGTAGGACTTCAAATGAGCCCTGCCATTTAGCTAATGGAAGAGAGAAGTAGCAGCACCCAGTTGCCAGGTTTGTAAACCCACAACTTGGCATTTTTGGTGAGGGTTCCTACTAAATCTAACCTCTCTCACAATTTGAGGACTGTAATAAGGCATTATGGCCCATTTAGTGGGAGCAGACATCCTATGGTAGAAGCCCAGCTGTGGCAGTTAGCTAGTTAAGGGCCGTGTCTACACAAGACACTGACTGCACAGTAGCTCGTTACTACTGCACAGTAGCCTTGCATGGTACAGTGTGATGCAACACTACTGTGCAGTAGTAGCAAGCTACCGCTCAGTCAGCATCACCTAAAAGCCATTTGGCGATGCTACTGTGTAGTAAATCTGGTTACTGCGCGGTCATTTAGTACTTGTGCATACAAGCACTAAACGACTGTGGGGTAACAACTGTGCAGTCAGTGTCTAGTGTAGATGCAGGCAGGGAGTACTTACTGGCAGTTAAAAATCCCAGAGAGAGGGCAGGAAAAGAGAGGAAGGGGGAAAAAGTGGTCCACAAGCAGGCGGTGCACTGGAACCCAGAGGTTGCCACCAGGAAGGGGCTAGAGCAAAAGGGCCTCTCCTGGAGCTCAAAGAATGGCTCCAAATTTCAGTTTGCTTATTTGTGTGTGGGAGCAAGGGCTGCATTTATGTTCAAAGGATCAGCTTAAGATCCCTCTCAGGGCAAAGACACACTTGGAGGTTGCAGACTCACTAATCCACTTGCATGTGCAAAAGAATGTGGGCAGGCTTAGCTGTCCACCATTAGAATGGCCCCTGGAAGCACATTGAAGTGAATGGAGGAGCTGCAGCAGCAACAGCAATAAGCCTTCCAACAGCAGCAGCAAGTGTTTCAGCAACTCCAGATTCAACAGCAGCAGTTTCAGGAAAAATGGCAAGGGGAGCCATAATAATTCATGTTTTGGATGTCAGAACAGGTGAAGCCCAGCATGGGTGGGGGGGGCTCCCCTCACCCAGTCAGAAGGGGCTGGAATGCTTTCAAAAATGGGGCCTGATGACACCCAAAGCATTTTTAGAGATGTTCAAGTGGGTAGCCAGGACATAACAATGGCCCTGGGATCAGTGGGCTACCCAGCTAGTGCCCTACCTGACCAGGGAAGCTCAAGCAGCCTATAGGCCTGGTGACTGAGGCTGCATGCAGTTGTGACACCCTAAAGCCTGCCATTTTAGGTCACAGAGAAGGCATATAGACATCAGTTATGGACAAAGCCATTTCAACCCCAAGCAGAGGCACAGTGCCTTAAAAGATTTATGCACCTGGTGGCTGAAACCAGAATCCAGGTTGTCCAGGAAAATAATGGAATTGGTAACAGTGGTACAGTTTAGACAAATACTGGCTGTGGGGACCTGGAAGTACGTCTGTAGATACCAGATTATAGCCCTTAAGGAGGCAGTCTGCCTTACTGAGGCTGATTTGAGTCTTCAGCTGTGCAAAAAGGGACAGGGCCTCTAAAGTTAAGGAAATCCAGCCGTGGCTTGTGAGTCTCATTGGGTGGAGGTAGTACAACTGGCCCAGGAGCTATACTTCCTGAAACAGCAAAGATGGGCTCAAGCAACACAGGGCCATTGAGGCAGGGCTGGAAGAGGATCACCACCAGGACATGGTATTAGACTGAAGAAAAGGGGAGTCATCAGTCTGTTTTTTGTGTGGCCAGCCCAGTCACACTGGCACCAGGATTGCCCACTCATGGACTGTAGTTATGTACATTTTGGGATCTCCAAGGTCCCTATAGTCATCCTAGGGATTTAGTGCTATGTCCTGGCACTAGCTGGATGGCTGCAATGTTTACAGGAAGAACCTGAACACTCTCTCATGGAGCTTGAACCTCTGAGCCCTGTGGTCTGACCTTTTTCTCTCTTTGTTTCCCTCAGTTCCACCCGTTGTCCTTGTGTAACACCAGTGAGGACGAGCACACAGAGTCAGGATTCATCACGATTGTCAAGCTGGAACGACCAGATCGCGATCTCCACCCATGCCTATCGCTGGCCAACAAGGTACATGTGGCAGCACCCCCTGGGGGAATGGCTTGGGCTATGAGGCTACAGGACAGACAGGAGGGCTCACTGTGTCCCTAGAGGGTTTCTGTGCCAGTCTCTGTTCCTGCAGGAGGTACTCAGCATGGTCTCTGTTTTCAGCTTTTTTCTTGTAGAAGGGGCCGTCTGACCTCAGCAGCTGTACATCATAGCACTTTATATTATCCCTCCCCTGTATCACAGGCTCCTGCCTAAGAAAGTCCACTGCATCCCTCAGCTGAGTGCCCCCCATGGCTTTACTTCCCTCTGTGCTCTCCTGAGCTCTCCTGCTGGCTATGGTGTTATGCCACTAAGCCAGAGTTGCCAAAGTAAAGATTTACATTTATCTTGTGACCTGGATAAAGTGTGGTCCAGTGGAAAACATAATCTGTGACCATATAATTAAAGATGGTATTATAATACTTGAATCTAGCAGAGCCAGACTCAAGAATAACCAATGGCTGGCACCTGAAGTGCAACAAATTAAAATTAGAAGTAAAACATGCATTTTGAACAGTAAGGGTAATTAGCCACTGGAACCAGTTACTAAGGGAAGGGTAAATTCGCTGTCTTTTGATGTCTTCAAATCAGGACTGGATGTCTCTCTGGAAGATTTAGCCAAGCACAAATTATTGGGCTCAGTGCAGGGGGATCTGTGTAAAACTCTTTCATACAAAAGAAGTCAGACTGACATACAAACCATAATGGTCAGTTCTGGCCTTCAGCGTGTATGTATCTGTGATGACAGCACACATGAGCATCTGTGATGGTCAGAGTATTTACCCATTAAGCATTGAAAAGTAGCAGGTGTGCTACTGTGATAATGGCCACATGAGAAGGGAGAGCTAAATATGAATGTAGGAGCCCAACATTAGCAATTCCTTGTTTTTAGTTTTTAGTTTTAATACCTCATTTTATAATCTTGATTTATTCTTATCATAGGCTTTGTATGAAGTTTATTATTGTTAATTATAGGCATTAAATGTATTAATATGTTTAGACTACATATATAAATGCACATAAAACTATAAATATATACATGTATTTACTTAAGGTCTGGATTAGGGGGTCCCCATGGGTCCCAAACTTGGGCAGTTGCTGCTCCCCTGCTGCCAAATTACAGGACTTGTGCGGATCCCTTTGGGGCAGATAACACGCTCAGTCAGCACACAGAGATGGACCAGACCTGATCTGGGCGCACACAGACTGGCTGAAAATAGTGCAGGGCCCAGTTTGGCTGTACAGGCCCCAGGGAGCTGGCATGAGGTCCCAATCTGGCAGTGACAGGCAGAGAGGCGGTGCAGGGCTCCAAGCAGGGCTGAAGGAGGAGGCATAGGGTCCTGACCCACATGGCAGCATGGGACCAAGGGAGGCAGTGCAGGACCTGAGACTGGTATGTGAGGCTTGATCCAGCCCTGTGCCACTCATTTGGCCTGCAGCACCAAAAGGTTAAGCACCATTAGTCTACCCAGTTTCTTGTTTTACATATAACCATTGGCACAGCTTCCCTGGACAGGCTGCAGAATATCTGTCATTGGAAGTTTTCAGCTTCAGGATAGACAAACATTTGTCTTGTTGATTTAGACAGGGATTATCCTGCTTTGAGCAGCAGATTGTACTCGGTGAACTCCTGAGGTTTCTTAAAAACCTATCTTTCTATGATTCTAGCTTTTAAATACAGTGCTACAGGCAGGCTTGTTTCTTTTTGGGTTGGCTATGATACACCTAGCCAGTGCATCCTCTGAGAGCTACTACCTGATTTCAGCTATCCTGGGGAGTGGTAGCTGCACACTAGTAAGTGATGCAGGTTTTCACAGTTGTGGTCTGTCCCCATTCAGTGCCATTCAGGTGAGCTTTGGTTCCCCTTCTGTACAATGGTGTTAACAGCCCTGTGATTGGGGGTGCTGTGAAGACAGTTCAGTGATCTTTGTAAGTCAGATTATAAAGATGGTGTATGGTGTGGTCTTGGATGCCAGATAAGTGCTTTCTTTGAAAGCTAAGTTCAGCACTTGTTGCTGAGTACTATACAAATCACCAATGGCATTTGCTAGGCCTTGGGCAGTGAACAATATTTACACTGCATGGTGGTCAGTTTGGGAAAGGTTGTGCAGCCGTGTTGTACTTCGCAGCCCCACACAAATCTCTGACTGAACCTTTGTCTGCCTTATGCAACATACCTGAAGCAAATGCAGCCCTTGCTTCTTTACTATTCACAGGTGCCAGGGTAACTGTAGTACCCCAGATATATTCACTTGCATTGGTAGACATTGCTTTGTTTCCAGGACTGAAGTCAAGTAAGGCTTGACTTTGCCTGAGATCCTGCTTCACCAGCAAAATGTGATTCTCACACACACTATCCTTCCACTTGCAGTGTGCCCTGCCTGAAAATGCCCACCTAACAGCACTGCTGAAGTGAACTCCCACCTACTCAGCCATATCACATATACTTAGGAATGTACCCCACCCCAGCACACCCACAATGGCTTTCAGGAGCTGAGGCCTTAGTCTCTTTCCCCTTTCCACTGTACCAGCAAGGATCACATCACTGGGCACCACTTATACCATGTCTTCCTGCCTCCCTCAGTCCTTGCACAGACTTCTGCTCTCCCTCCACCATAATCTTGAGGGCTCTGATGAACTCCTGCCCCACTGCATGGAATATCTCTATACTGTCTGCTCCCCCCAAGCTTATTTCCTACCTATTTCCTTCATCTTTCTTGCACTCTAGACTCCTTGCCTTATTCCATGCTGCTTGTTAGGCTTGGAACAGCCTCCTGCTCTTGATCTAACAAGATCCCACTCACACCACTTCTGCAACTCACCTCAGGATACCTCCGTGCTTCATGTGGTATTTAGTGCATACAAGCCACACCTCACAGGATGCTAGAGCCCTTTTGTATCCTATCAGCTCATGCAGTTGGAATAGGGGACGCTCACTTTTCCGGTTAATGTTTCCTGTGGTAGAGTTCTGCATCTCTAATTGCAGCCCTATATAAATGATGATAAGAATAGCCATTTGTAGAATGTTATCATAACCTCCACCTTAGCTGTCATCCAGCCAGCCTGTGCACAGTCAGCCCTTTCAGGCTTGCCCTGTGAGACACACCTCCCAGCCACCAGACTGCTTCTGCTGCTCTTCAGTGCATTCAACTGGGCAGGTCTCGTTGAAGTGTCCCACACTGAAAACCTAGCCAAGAGGATTGAGAGGCACAGGGAGAGATCACTACAGAGCTAGACGCATACTACAGGGAATTATTCAAAACTATTATTCTGCATGAATGTTTACAGCTTTTGGGGTTGGTTGCATTCTGAGCCACTGAGTGAACTTTCAATTGCAAGGACAGTTGCCAGAAAACCAAAGTCTCATGCCTGCTCCCACTCAGATATATTTGCATTTGTATTTGTACCCAAAATGTGTAAAAATATTTCAGTCATTCACCCAGGGAAGTCAGCAGTGCCCTGGGGCTAACAGGACTGATTGTGCCAGAGTGAGGGTTCCAGGGAGAAGCAGTAGCCAAGAGTTTGTAAGCAGCCTGTTTGCACTTTGGAAAAGAGCAACTTTTATCCTGGAAGCAGCCTGTTATGCACAGTTTTTCCTACCTCTGCTTGCTTGTTTCCTCTACCTTCTGTGTCTTTAATAATCCTGGTAAAACTGTTCACCACTTAGCAGACACCAGCTGTTTCCTAATGTGTGGAATTCATTACCTGAAAGTCCTGTTTGTTCTCAGAGACTGGCAAACTGAGAGGATCCTTTGATCCCAGACATGACTCTGCTCCCTTGATCCCTGAGCTTTTGATTCCACCACCCAGCTTCTCAATCTGGTTCAACCAAGTCCTTGAGCATCAGTCTCTCCACTCATCCAGAGCCTTCAACCCTAATCCCCAATCCCCTGGCCTCTAATTTACCATCCTCATTCCTAACTTCACTTTTAGCTCCAACCTCTAGGGCCCTAGGCCACTGGCTCAGAGCCCACATGTTGAAGGAGAGAGGAGAGGCAAAGAGAAAGCGGAGGTCAGGAGTTGTTTGCCTGGGCAGGATGAGGAGGGAGCTAAGCTTGCAGTCAGTGTATGATGTTGTCTTCTGGGTTGGGGAATGCCTCTTCCCCCAGGGCAGCCGGGGCTTTGGAGCGCTGCCTTTGATGTTACAGCTGGGAAGCTTTGGTGCTGACCTCTGGCCCTCAGCTACAGGCAAGCTCTATAATTGTGAAGCCTGCTGTAGCAAATCTGGCAGATACCTGCTTGCACATGCTCTCCCAAGGACACTCAGATCAAAGCACGCTGCGTAAGTAAGTTCATCCTGGCCCTGCACTTTGTTCTCCTTCCTTCCTTCCATCCACAAGAGATAGCCATTAATTCCTTCCCTGCCAAAAGAGAGCACCAGGGTTGGCAGGGCTGAGAAAGGAATGGTGCCAAGAGGAGTTCATGGGGGTCAAAGACCCCTAGGCAATAACCTCTGACTCCTGCTTTTGCACTTCTTTGAGTGAGACATTCAGCAGTATGTCTGTCCTAGGCTGTGCACAATGAGCAGATGGGGCCCTCCTGGTGATATGGCCTGTGACTCCTAGTGGCCTGGCTAATGATCTGCCTGTAACATGCAGGAAACTTCAGCACTCAGTTCTCTAGGATCTCAACACAGATCCATGTTAAAGGTCCTATCACTGCGAGGGACAGTGCCATGGGTGACTGATTCTACCTTAGTCTGGGCGGGGCACATGCCACATAGTCAGGGGGTGTCCCCGCAGCCACTCTCGCCAACCCATGGCCGATTGCACCAGACAGGAAGCGGTTGTGACGCTCCCACTCCCTGGCCTGCACTCACAGGGGGAGCACTAGTGCTTCCACCTGCCCTCTGCCCATTGCCTAAATGGGGAGCGCAGCCTGTCAGGATGCACCACCGCTCTCAGGGGGTGCACATGCACTTCCTACACTTTGCCACTGGACAGTGCCATATATACAGCAGTATGTACTGAAGTTACAGGGTG